ACTCCTTCTAACCAGTTTCACTACAGCCTTTAAAGGTAGTAGACGAACAGAGCACAGTAAAGGACCCCCCTTCTCTTTCTTTCCTACCATTTATGTTTCTCAGATTTCTGTAGTAGTAAAGTTGAATCTCTTTAAAGACTCAGATTGTTTTATAGAGCTATTGCTCAGCATATTAGTCTTGAATGAAATTTCCAATTGCATAAATGTCTGTAGCCTTCTCCTACCATGAGCATGAGATATGTATTTACTTTTGATCTAATTGCTAGGAGCAATTAGGGTAAAGTATTACTTCAGATTTCTTAGCATCCCGTGGTGGAAAGCCAGCACCACTATAATGAATGGAGCACTTGATGGTGATAAAGAACAGAGTCCTACTTGGCTCCCCATCCTCTTTCTGTCCTGTCTCATTGTCTAGTTTTAAATAAGCTTGATTAGCTCGCTCTGCATGCATAGCTGTATCAGCTTTCTGTGGCCCAGTTTTGGGACTACATCTGGTTAATCTACTCCCTGGAATCAGACCAATGCAATTCAACATGTAACTAGATTTAGTGTATTATTTACTATCTCACAATCTTGATTTTTAGTACTTAGTAGTCATTCTACTTTTTGAACACTGTAATAAAAATTGTAAATCATACATTTCTAACCAAAGACTCTTTCTCTCTCTTGTGCAAAGAATCTGAGAAAAACAGATTTGAAAACCATAGGAGGAATGCTTGTGATCCCGCTGCAACTGTTGCATGTGGGGGAAGAGAGAACCCAGATTATCTGTACACACAGAACATGAAGCAGTGGGGACAGAGAGAAATCCTAAAGAAGCATCAGAAACAATACCATAGAGAAGAAAGGGCATTCTCAGTGAAGTCATTGGCCTCAAAAACTGTTCCATCTAAGCAGGACTGAGTCTATAACGTAAGGTGATTTGCTTTAAGCTGTAAATCTCCTGGGTGCTTTAGGCCTCAATACTTGTTTTTACGAGGCTGGAAGAGGAGGAAAATATATCATTTCAATCTATCCCCTCTCAATACTGTATGGAATTTTAAGCAGGCTTCTCCCAGAGTTAAGTTCCCGGTGCAGCCACCCCATGATCTGTGTGGCCTTCTCCTTTTCCTAGCTTGCCCAGAAAGTTCAGGGGGAGGGTGTTTACATTTTTCTGAACTCATACTTTATGCTGGGTAATATGACATATCTTAGGTGTATTATCTCCCAGTCAAGTGTTAAAATAGCTCTCCATCATCTTGTTGTTGATTAGTTCATTGGTTTCAGTCAGCTACTAATGAGGCTTAGCAAGGGTCCCCGGGTTAAATCTGTGTGCTGGCTGGGTGACCGGCAGTAGAGGAGACGGGCAGGTACCATTGCAGTTAAGGCTTTACCTTTGGTGCTATGGTCCCTGTGCATGTTACTTTGCCTTTCTCAAAGTGCTCATGTTATGGAATGGGTATGGAAAACCCAGCTCAACTTTGTGAGGCAAAGGCAACATAAAATGGATTAAGTGTTGTTTCAGTGCTGTGGTGCATTATGTGCTCAATGAAAAAAGATGGTCATAATAGGTCATTTGTGTTACCTCCATTTTTAAAAAAGGAATTGAAGCTTCCAGTAGGAAATTTAAATGATATGCTTATAAAATTACAAAGCTAGTATCTGACAAAGCATGGTTTCCAATGCAAGCCTGTTTAACCCCCATGTCCTACATATAACCATTTTGAAGTTGTAAGTTTATTATCAGTTGCACTTTCAAGCAATTGTGAATATTCTTTAAGGACATTTTCTGAATTTAGCCAAATTGGAATTATTGGACAAGCACAGCATGGGTAGTTGGTGGAACAGGACCCCAAATTAGGTAGACATCTAAAAGAATTGGTGTTTTACTCAACCTCGAGTGCACACTTGCATTAAATTTATTTAACTTAAGGAGAAAGATACCTACAGTACTCTTGGGATAATAGGTTGTTTCTATTGTAATAATTCTTGATGACTTTGTGTTCCTTCAATTACGCCTACATGCTAAAGACATTTTTTAAATTTCTTTCTCTAATGAGAAAATTTTCAAACTCAGCATGACAGTCACTAAAATAGAATTAATTTTATCCTGGATTATAGTTTTAGAAACTGGAACTGTCCATTTTCTTTGTGTCATAAATAACAGAGGAGTTTCCTATCAGCTCTTCTGTGTCTTCCTCCTCTGCCCTTTCGCCACTTTCACTTTGTGCCAATCACAGGTGGATGCTCAATATCACCCCACAGCACAAGATAAATAAGCTTGGACAGTTTCCTAGCAACATATTGTTCTGGGAACTTGTTCTGTTTCCCTGAGCAAGCTGTAGCCAAACATGCTGGAATCTCAGCCAGATGGGAAAGGATTAGCTTATTGAGGGTGTTTAATGCTTTTTTTTTTTTTTTTTTAATTCACTTTGAAATGAACCTCTTAACATAAGTAGCAAGGTTGATTTTTAAAAGGACACTCCTTTACATATAAAGATAATCTCAGTAATAGTTTGAATATAAAAATAGCTAGTTTTAAGAGAAATTCTCTAGGAGCAAGCTTATCACATGTACTTGCATCATCGGTAAGTGGATCCATTTCAGAACTGTATAGAAAATACTTCCTCTCATGCCTGATGTGCAGCCTGGAACCCCTGGTACTGATATTCAGTTGCAAAAAATATTGAAATACTTCTGATCTGTGAGAGAATGGCTGCTGGTACCCTCCTCATAGTACTGTTCACTTCTCTCCTTGCCCCTGCCCTGGGGATACATGAAACACCTGTCACTGCTTAAAACCCTCTTTTCCTTCAGTGATAGCGATTGCCACTTCATCTGGGGAGTTGTTTTTTTGTTTTGTTTTTTACTTGGTTTTCTAAGTATATGATTAATACATACAGAGAAAAGAAAACAAGAAGAAATTGAGGCCCTTATCAAGATCAAGAAAAATAATGTTTTATCACGTGATCATGTAGATTCTCCTTGTTCATCTGATGATCTTGAGGCCGCACGGTTGGCTGGTGGTGCTTTCCATTCTATTGCTCTCTAATCAGTCTCAGTGACTGGTTGGAAGTGCCTGGAGATGGTGTAATAAGGATTAGCATTTCTCATGACAATCTTCAACAAAGATTTTGTAAATCAGTTATACTCTGGGGCATGTCTGACTTCTTGTTTGATGAAGATTGTCATCAAGTTGTTGTTCAATGACTTGCACTGTCTGCCAGATTTGGTTTGCGTTTGGGAAACTTCCCAGTTATGGTGAGAAGCAAATCATTCCACACTTCAGCGTGTTCCTGGGTGGAAAGAACAAAGCAATTACAATAAAATGGGTGTCTTTGCTTTTTTAAAAGAAAACTCTCCGGCCAGATTCCAGAGAATTAAATCATCTTCATCCCAGAAAGCTACCTGATAATTCTATATCCAGTGTGGGTGCTGTCCATTCTCTCTTGCTCTCTCTTTCACACATACACACGTGTTCTAAATACCAAGTCTTGAACTCGACAAGAAACAATCTATTGAGAGCCTCCCAGGGGTCACTTTGGTAGACATCCTGATGGATACTGAGAGGCATCAACGCACCACCCGCACCTTTACCACATTACCATGAATTTAGCAAAATAACACACTTGTAATCTTTTAAAAAATTAAACTGTTTCTCTTCATTTAAAGTCACTTCCTTTAGGACCTAAACATTAAGATTTTTTATTTCTAAAGGGATTATATAATTTTGATTGTCCAAGGAAAGCCTAAAAGTAGATTGTCTCTGTTCTATGGAGCAAAAGAGATTGCATTAATTTTGAGGGGATACATTAAAAAACAATTTAAAAAACTTCCATGAACCAGGCATTACTTTAGATAATTTACCTATGTCATTTAATTCTCCTGATAATCATTATGAGCTAGAAATTTTTTTGCCTGTCATTTTACAGATGAAGAAAGTCAAGCTAAGAGAGGTTAAATACCTGTTTGCCAAGGGCTTAAGGAGAGTATAGTAGTATGCCGAAACCGGTTTGCTCAGTGGTAGAGCGTCGGTCTGCAGACTGAAAGGTCCCGGGTTCGATTCCAATCAGGGGCACGTACGTTGGCTGCGGGCACATCCCCGATAGGGGGTGTGCAAGAGGCAGCTGGTCGATGTTTCTCTCTCATCGACGTTTCTAGCTCTCTGTCTCTCTCCCTTCCTCTCTGTAAAAAATCAATAAAATATATTTAAAAAAAAGAAAGAAAGAAGAGTATAGTAGGCATTCACATCCTGGTCTGTATAGTGCCAAATGCTTATTTATTTATTTTTAAAATCCTAAGATCCTGTGAGATTTTAGTCTTTTCCCAGGTTTAAAAGATTAGACTACTTTATGTCTTTTAAAGATTACATAATTCTAGCAAGAAATAGATAAGCTGTTTATATTATTTCATATTATCTCATTCAGCACAGTGATTCCATATTCCTTTGCACTTTCAGTGATGAGCTTTATAGTCTTCTTTCTGTCTGTTAATAACTCCATTTCAAAAATGGCTTTTTTGTTGTTGTTGATATAAGTCATTTTCAACATGCTAGAAGCCATGAGTGAATTTTACTTAAATGAAAGTAGTTAGAATTAATAACACTGTTAAATACATTATCAAGAAAACGGGTATGGCTTATCAGCAATATTGTAGAACAGAGATGGACAAACTACAGCCTGTTTTGTAAAAAACAAACACACACACACACAAAAAAACAAAAAACGTTCGTTAAAACAGGGCCAAACTCATTTGTTTATGCATCACCTATGGCAGCTTTTGTGCAGTAACAGCAGAGTGGAGTAGGTGTGACCTAGACTGCAGGGCCCACAAAGCCTACAAATCACCATATGGACTTTCAGAGAGAGTGCAACTCTAGATTGCTTCCCTCTAACTTTGAGTTGGGCGAGTGCCATCAGAATGCCAGAGACTTGATTGGAACACCTCAGGGAATGTTTACCTAAATCATTTCCTCATTTCACATGCTGTTCCTCTGACCTCTCCCCCACCTCCCCCCGCAGGTATCGACCAAGAAGCTGAAGAAATATGAGAAGGAATATCAGACAATGCGTGAGAGTCAGCTGCAGCAGGAGGACCCCATGGACAGATACAAGGTAGGGAAGACGCAGCACCTGCCAGAGCAGGACCCTCGTGACCCTTAGCAGTTGTGGCAAGTTCAAGTCCTTCTGTTCCTTCCTGCTTGATTTAGCCACTCTGGCCATGTTAAATGCCCAGGGCTGTTTTCATTTCAGCACACTGCCTGAGTAGCCCACCGTAATATTTCTTTTCTTTCAGTTTGTATATTTATAGGTAACGCCATCTGTTGCATTTATACTGGGAATCTGCCTAAGAAGCTGAGAGAAAGAGAGGGAAAAGGAAAGAAAGTGGCTCTCGACTACTTTCAAAAATGAGAGAAAAAGGAAAATGGCAAAGTACTGTTTTAACTGTACACGGTCACATCCACAAAGACTTTTAGAAGGTGATCTGTTCCAAGACTGGCACGAAAATGTTTCAGACTCACCTGTGTCTGTAGCAAATGTGAAAAATGCAAGCTTATTTGGAAGGACAAATAAAAACCACAAAAGTTGTATTGAACACAGTCATGGTGTTTGTTGCAACGTTTATTTCACAAATAAATTTATGAGTCACAGTGACATTTCACTACAGTATTCAGTTTCAGAATCAAAATGATTTCATCTGAACATTTTAGTTAAATAAGTGATAGTGTTGTTGTTGTTTTTGTAAATCAGGCTTTTCACAAAAGATAGATTTCTTCATTGGTAATTAGCAATACTGTTCCCATGATGCAGTGACTGATTTCAAACTTATTTTTTCCAACTGAAATAATATAACAGATGCATTGTTCCCTTTCTCTCCATATCAGTACATCAGGGTAAGAGAATATTGTATTTGTACAGTGAGCAATGTTACAATATCCTGCAAAAAAAAGCACTGGGTGGTATTATGAATTAAATCACCCAGGGTGGCATGGCTTCCACTTTTGGAACTAAGGTTGCCTTTATGTGGTCAGGAGCTGGGCACGGGCATCTACAGTCACATGGTACATCTTGTCTCTGTTGCTAAGTTGAATAGCATGCGGTGTTCTGGGAGGGACCCCTATAGAAGGAGTATATATATTTTGTAGTCAGATGTGAGTTTGAATCCCGGCTTTCCAAAATCAAAGGGCCAGGATGCGGAATGCAAATTGGGAGTTGTTAATCTCTATGCCATTGTTCATTGTGTTGGACTAACTATTGAGCCTCTTCCTCTCTGCAAAACATGCAGTATACACATTGCCTGGAAGGACTGTTGAGAAGATGGGGGGTGGCGTATTTTAAGACCCAGCACATGGTTGGTGTGCAATAAATGGACGTGTTAGCCTTAGTAGGCCTGCTTCCACTTACCCAAGTATTACTAGAGAAGCACCACCTTTTATGCATCAGTCTCTTGCAGATCTTCCTCATATGTCTCCCAGGCATTGCTAGCCAATAATCTAATATCAACATGTTTTCCCTCTTGTTCATAGAGCTGGCTGCAGAACTGATAGTGGAGTCCCACATACTGCTCTGGTAGGGAACTGCAGCATACCAGGTGCTCCTGCAGTGACATGTGAAGCTAGCCATCATCCCTCAGAATTAGCTCATGTAGCGCACTGCTTTAGAAGACCTACAGTGGTAATTAGGAAACATTTCTGAGGATCCAGCCTGAAACCCTCCTACTGCTTGCGTCAATCTAGTTTTCTTATTGCTGCCATGGTTATAAAAAAATCTGGGAAGATTGCTTTAAAATAGAAGATAGGGAAATGGAAGACTAAAATTGTATATTTAAAATCTGCCTGGGACTAAATTTGTTATTATTTTTAAAGTCTTTTTATGTCCAAGCAGATACATACAAATAAGTAGTACAATACATAATATTATTTAAGAAAATGCTTACCATACAGCACTATCAATGTGTATAATTTTTATTGTGGGATCAAAATAGAATTAAACCTTTTGTTTTTGTTTTGAAAACAAATATTGTTCTTTAGCTTGAGTATTGTGTCCTCCTGTGTACACATCAGGCCCCTTTTAGAACTGTTTGTTTTGTATCATTGGAATAGCTGGTCAATACATCTCCTAACAAATAGCTCAACCTTTAATAGTCTAGACCTTTGTATTGGCAATAGATATACTTGGTAAAATGATAGTCCTCAAATTACATTATATATTTTTAAAAAATATATTTTATTGATATTTTTACAGAGAGGAAGGGAGAGAGCTAGAGAGCTAGAAACATCGATGAGAGAGAAACATCGACCAGTTGCCTCTGGCACTGGGGATGTGCCCGCAACCAAGGTACATGCCCTTGACTGGAATCGAACCTGGGACCTTTCAGTCTGCAGACCGACGCTCTACCACTGAGCCAAACTGGTTTCAGCAAATTACATTTTATATATATATATATATATATATATATATATATATATATATATATATATATAAAGTTCGGATATGTCATGCAGTAAGGTATTTTAAGAGATGTTTCAGTTTGAAGCTATTTCTCTTGAGCATGGTGATAGACCGGAGAACTATTGCAGTAAGTCGGAGGTGGGATTAGAGACTCAACAAAATAGACATAGCTCTCAGCAGTCCAATTCTTGCTCTAACAGTCTAAATGTGTGTTTGAGTTTATTTTTTTAATTACTTTAAAATATATATTTTTAAATTGATTTTAGGGAGGAAGGGAAAGAGATAGAAATATCAATGATGAGAGAGAATACTGATTGGCTGCCTACTGCATGCCCCCTATGATCAAGCCCACGATCCCAGCATGTATCCTGACCGGGAATCGAACTGTGACCTCCTGATTTATAGGTCAACACTCAACCACTGAGCCATGCTGGCTGGGCTCTTGGGGGTTATTTTTATACACAAATATCTGCACTCTCAGGTTATGTCACTATTCTCACCGGTATCTAATATCTACTAACACTGAAATCTCAACTATAATGAAAGGGAAAAAATGGTGTTGGTATAAATTTGAATTGTAGAACCCTACACACAATGAAAGTGGTTTGGAATTAGTGGTGATGGTGGCATGACTTTGTGAATATCGGGTCTAGTAATAATTAATGTCGTTTTAAAACATTCGTTTAAAATCTTGCTTGGCGTTGACTTGTATTGACATAACCTTCAAACACGTGGTATCTACAGAACGTGTGAAGTGCAATTAACAAGTTTTGCTTGAAAAAGTTTGTGTTTGGTTTGGTTTTTGTTGCAAAACTAGGGCTAAGAAGATGGCAGATGAAGAGTATATTCGGCACTGCATGCTTTACGAGTTCCAATTAGGAAGAAAAGCAAGTGAGGCTGCAAAAAACATCTGTAGTGCTCTTGGTCAAGATGCAGTTAGCGCCAGAAAATGCCAGCGTTGTTTTGAGAAATTTCGCGAGGGAAATTTTTCGTTAGATGACAAGAGTGGTCGAGGTCGTGTGTCCAATTTTGATCAAGAAGCTCTTCAAGCTCTTTTGGTGCAAAATCCTCAAATTACCCAACAAGAGCTTGCGACAACTTTAAATTGTTCACAAAAACGATTTCCAATCAATTGCGTGCACTTGGCAAAGTCCAAAAGTTTGGAAAATGGGTTCCTCATGAGTTGACCGACAACAACCGTAATCAAAGAGTCACTATTTGCAGTTCGCTCCTCTCTCGTCAAAATCGTTTGCTGTTTTTAGAGCAAATTGTTACCGGAGACGAAAAATGGGTGCTGTATGTTAATTTGAAAAGGCGGTCTCAATGGTTGGACAAAAATGAGGCTCCGCAGCCCACGCCAAAACCTGACTTGCATGCGAAAAAAGTGATGTTGTGTGTTTGGTGGAATTTTAAAGGAATTCTTCATTATGAACTTTTACCATCTAACCAAACCATTACAAGTGCAGTGTATAGTGCCCAATTGGAAAGGTTAGTCCAAGCTTTAAGAGAAAAAGAACCCGCGCTGATTAATCGGAAGGGCGTAATTCTTCACCACGATAACGCACGACCGCATACTGCAAGAATCACTGCTGAAAAACTGCACCAGTTGGAATGGGAAGTTCTCCCTCAACCTGCATATTCTCCTGATATTGCCCCTTCGGATTACCATTTGTTTTGTTCTTTGCAAAACTTTCTTCTTGGAAAAAAATTTAATAATGAAGAATACCTCAAAAATGCATTGACCGAATTTTTTGCATCAAAATCACAAGAATTTTACAACAGAGGGATTAAAATGCTTCCTGAGCGTTGGGCACAAGTAGTAGAAAACAACGGCAACTATATTGTTGATTAAATTTTGTTGTATTGTTTAAATAAATTCGATTTAAAAAGTATTAGAAAACGACATTAATTATTACTAGACCTACACTGAAACCACTGAAGAGCGTATTTTAAAAGGTGAATTATATCATATTTTATGAATTTTATGTGAATTATATATCAAGAAAATTCAAGCAAAGTGTTCCAGGAGGATGGGTGCCTGGCCTACCATCTTTCTTTCATAAACCCTGATTCACATAGAGATACCTGTGCAGAAGCCATGCTGTGGGAGAGGAGACCTTAGAATGGAGCTAATGAATGACTATAGACTCTGTGTGCCCATATTTATGGGGAACGGACAACAGAGACTGTGGTTGGCTTTTGGAAATATTTATGTCATAAAATAACGTGCTTTTCGTGAATAGTTATAGTCAAGGGGGTGATTTTTAAGATAACTATGAAACTTAACAATAAACTTCAGAAGACTGCCACTCAATCTTTCTGAGCTTGGAAAACTTGCCATTGTTGGATGGTGGAGAAGGCAAGCCCTTGGCTTCTGAGGCTTCCTGAGCAGGTTAGCTAAGAAAGAGCTGGTGGCTCCTGATGATGCCGTCTGCTGATTGGTTATACTTAACATTGGGGGTTATTAAGAATTCCTAAGTATATTTATTGATGATCTTCAGAATGAATTCTCCAAAACTTTCTTTAGTTTTCAGTAAGTTCTATTTTCTGTTGAAGTAGTATTACTGAGTAAGTTATGTGTCACATTCATGTATTTCTACATCCTTTGCAACTCATTTGCTTTGTTTTGTTTTTTAAAAATATGTATTTTTTTAATTGATTTT